CCAGCCCGCTTGTAACGCGGGCTCTCTGGCTAGCTTTCCTCGAGAGCAGACCTGTGTGTCTCCCACTTTCTCCCACAAGTCCGTGACTCCCAGAACCGCCACGCCGTCCGTGTGAGACTGCAGAGCCTGGGGACCGCCTCTCTCCTGGGCCTGTCCGTAGGCATGGGCTGATGAAAGGTGCATGTGATGCCGCTTGAGGAGCCTTGAAGGCCGAGCTCTGTTACGCTAACCCAAGCCCTGTAGAGAACGAAAGGCCGGAGTTTTTAAGCAGACCGGATCCGTGGAAACCAAAGAGCTGATTGGTGAAGCGACTTCTATCCAGCTTGTGCTCTGGCAAGCAGTGCCCCCGAGCGCTTGTCTGTATCTGCTGCTCCATCCTTCAGCTCTCCGGGTGAAATTAAAGCGTTTTACTGTTTGCAGTTTAGTGTTTGGTGTAGCGTAGGCGAATGCTGCCTTTACAGCCCCTCTCTTTCATTTTCTGAAAATGTTTTCCTTTTGAAATATGTATGAAACGTCTGGTTTTCCTAACTGCAAATTTGAATCTCTTCGGATAATCTCTAGCGTGACTGTCCTACAAGGCAAACTTGCTGAATAGGGAAAAGAGTTCAGACTTGGGGCGGGGGGGATTTCGCTCAGTGGTTCCACCGCCCACCTACAAAGAGCAAGGGCCCGAGTTTGCTCCCCGGTACCAAAAAATAAATAAAAATAAAAAAAGAATTAAGACTTTTTTCCAGCAACTAAGAAAGGTAAAAAACATTAAAATAGGACGGGTAGTGTGAATAACTACAAACAAAATATAATTCACATTACTTTAAAATATTTGTTCTTTCTGATTTCCAAAGTGCATATTCACTGTCAAATATTAAAGAGTCACAGATGCCCAGCATGGTGGCTCACGCCTGTAATCCCAGCACTTGGGAGGCTGAGGCAGAAGGATCCCTGTGAGTTCAAAGCCAGCCTGGGCTACATAGGGAGTTCACGGCCAGCCTGAACTACACAGTGAGACCCCTGTCTCAAAAAAAAAAAAAAACAAAAACAAAAAAAAAAAAAAAAAAAGAGTTACAGG